ATTATGGAATTCTCGTTAACGGTAACTCATGGAGAACCTTTACTTGTCGCTTCACCAAACATAATCAATCGAACACATGTAAAGATGAAATTCTCAGTGAAAAACGTCAGAAAATAAACATTCGGCTGGCAAATCTGTGTTTCGCAAAAATCAAAGTATCCTGATTTGTTGGTGAGCAAAAAGTGCAGATTGAATGATATAAAAACTCTCCCAATCATGTTCATACCTTGGAGAAAAGCGAAAAACTGAAAAGATTCCAAACTGTTCGAATTTTGGTTGAGAATGAGACCGTTAAAAATTATTCACCATCAGCGATCATTAGTGCGGTTAGGGAATATGCGACAGCGAAGTTGGATCTCAGTTCAAGTATAAAAGAATTGAGACGAAAAGAAGTCATCAATATAAAATATAAAATTTATCGATCTCAAAATTCTCATCTTATTGGTAGCGGTAATCTGAAGCTGGATATCAATAAAGTGGTTTATTTTCTAAAAAATAAAGAATATCAAGTTGAGCGCTATCAAATTTTTCCACAATCCACTCAAGGTTTCATTTTCGTGCACCCTGACCAACTCAAAAAACTTCAATATCATGGGTGGTTGACACTAATAGACTCTACTCACAAAACAAATAGGTACGACTGGCATTTATTTACTTTGTATGTTCATGATGGATGTGGATGCTGGGACGTTGGTGTCAAGTAATAAGGATAGTGATACTGTAGCGGAAGCTCTAATAATAATTCAATGGTTTGCATGTTGCTGAAAACCTCGATATTTCCTTGCCGACCAAAGTAATGTGGAAGCTAATAGCATCGCAATAACTTTTCCGGAACTTCAAAAGGAGGAGGAGTGTGATATTCTCTTTTGTATCGTCCATGTTATGCGGACTTGGATGAGTAGGATCTATCATGTGAAAACACGAAACATTTTGATCCAAGCAATACATAAAACAACAAAAATTGAGTGTAAGGAGTTGATTCAACAAGCGATCGATAATTGTCCAGTCACTGCTGTTCGGCAATACATCCTAAGAAACTATGTGCGGAATACGCACCAGTGGGCTCTCTGAGCTTGTCAACATTCTTCTCTCCTTTTACAAGTGACTTTAACAAATACCTTGAAGTCCTACCACTTCGAATTAAAAAAAACAACCTCACCTCGACATGGTTTAATTGATATGATATAAGTCTATTTATAATATAACCATTTGCTTGCCATTAGTTTTCTTTATTCGTCACGTGATTGTGTTGCTGTCTTCTTTGCTAGTCTTCTTTCATTACGCAATCATGTTGTCAGTCTTCTTTATTCGTTACATAGTTGTGTTACTGGTCTTTTTTCATTACACAATTATGTTACTATCTTTTTTTGTTATGCGATCGTATTGCTATCTTCTTTTGTTACGTGATCGTGTTGCTATCTTCTTTTGTTATGTGGTCATATTGCCAGTCTTTTTTCATTATATGATTATGTCACTAGTCTTCTTTCATTACGTGATTGTGTCACTAGTCTTCTTTTATTACACGATTGTATCACTAGTCTTCTTTCGTTATATGATTGTGTCACTAGTCTTTCATTATGCGATTATATTATTCGTTATATGATTGTATTACTATTTTCTTTTGTTACGCGATCATGTCGCTAGTCTTCTTTCGTTATATGATTATATTACTAGTCTTTCATTACACGATTGTGTCACTAGTCTTCTTTCATTTTTTTTGTTACATGATCATGTTGCTAGTCTTTATTCATCACATCACTTGAAATATTCTAATAATCTATCTACTACTACTAGGGACATGCAATAACATTATTTTACTGGATGCGAAGAAGTGTTCAAATTCGAAGTATGTCGTCTTTGGATTTTGTACTAGGAAGATTTCTGTCGTTGACATCGACTGTGAAATTCTCGATGAAGTTCACAAGTTTCCTTTCCCTATTCAGCAAGTAATTATTAATGAAGCTTGTACCGTTGAAAAGAGAATACAAAAAGGCAAAGTAGCACCTGGTTTAACGTTGCCTGATTGTCATTGCCTGTTCTTTCATCAGTATCAGTTATCCTGTTAACACATCTTCCACGAACACGTGTATGATGCTAGGAAACTATTAACAACGAGTGTTTGGAACCAATTTCAGCAAATGTTTAAAGAGTGTGGGCTCGAGATATATGGGCATCGTGAGTCAGTAAGGATGGTAACATCTGAAGAACTGAAACTGAGAGAGCGGCCAAAAATCGACGAAAAACCGTAAATAAATTGATGGAAAGAACACGTGATGTATATTGGAGAGTTGAAGAGAGGGGAGACACTGAACAAACAGTTACATTTATTAAAAAATTGAGAGTTGGTTTGAAATCTGCTTTAATACATTAATATTTAAGTTTTATTTTTAAGTTTTTATTATAATTACAATATTAAGCTTTATTTTAGTTTTATTTTTAAGTTTTATTATAATTACAATATTAAATATTAAATATTAAGTGTTATTTTAGTTTTATTTTTAAGTTTTACAATATTAAGCATTATTTTTATTACAAGTAATTTTTTAAGAACATTTATTCTATTAACAATAAATAATTGCCATTATGTTTATATACAGTAGAAATGAATTAATAGTAAACATTTTTCCGTACAAGAAATAGTACCCTAGCCATGGCGAAAAAAATGTACTGTGCACGTGATCTGAAATAAGTCCATTAAAATATCCGATTAATACTAGATATCAAATATTAGGGTTAGGATTAGAGTTGAGATTAGAATTATATATAAAATTGTCTTCCCGACATTTTTTGATAGTGCACCAAGCTAGATTTAGACATCTATTTTTTGTATTTTTCGCATTTTTTGTCTTTTTTCATTTTCTTGTACCGGATTTGTTTTGTCGGGTTGATCAAAAATTTGCTTCATTCCTATTGGTTGCGCAGAATTTTTGTGCATTCTTATTGGTTGGATTGGTTCCTCATACTAAACAAGCGACAAGAGTTATTGGCATGCATGTGTGTGCATGACTATTAATCATGTACTCGGAAAATCGACTTCCTAACTACAGCGCCGAATTCCTCCGAAGTGAATCCAGCCACAATTACCCCGTGCCAGATCACATGTCCATCAGGCTTTAGCCGTGCCCTAAATTAGGAAATTAGGTATGGTATTGATAAACGAGACAAAAAATGCGTGATTTAATCAAATAAGCCACCAAAGGATCGTTATCAAATGGCGCAATTTTTAAAGTTTGTAATGCACTGGTTAGGATGCTGACATACGTATATTAGTTAATATTATTTTGATAGAGGTGTCAGGTAATATCTTATAGCCAATCAAAATGCTTAATTTTAGTACCCTAGCCATGGCGAATAAAATGTAGAGTGCACGTGATGATGAACTGATCCAACCAATAATAATGCGCAAAAATTCTGCGCAACCAATAGGAATGTAGCAAATTTTTGATCAACCCGACAAAACAAATCCGGTACAAGAAAATGAAAAGAAAACAATTTCTAACCCTAATCCTAATCCTTGATATCTAATATTAATCGGATATTTTAATGGACTTATTTCAGATCACGTGTATCGTACATCCTATCCAGCTCACCCACGATCGTGGATAAATATTGAAACTAAACTACTCGTTGTTTGTGATCGATCTTTGTAAATAAGAAAAATTAACAATAAATGGACAAAATAAAGAGTCTAGGAAAAACAGGTTCACTCGCTTTGGGTTTAATAGTAGGCGTCTTAATGACCTTATCCACTACTTTTTTAATTTCGCGCCGTGCAAGAAGAGACACGTCCTCAAAGTCGGCTCGTTTGCATTCGAGTGAAATTGCAGTGAACAAGATTGTAAATGGCGTAGAAGGCATAATAGGAAATACACCAATGATTAAAATACGTAGCTTAAGTGAAGCGACAGGATGTGAAATATTGGTAATAAATTTCTGTTGATAATTTATAAAATTACAATTGATAAAAACTCAAACATCACCTTTTTAATGATAATGAACAGGCGAAAGCCGAAGTAAGTAAAATAATTAACTTCGTCAGATCTGACGCAAAGAAATCTTTTACCTCAAGTTTCCCATTTGAAAAATTTACATTACAATCAATAATCATAAAGTTTCTCAATCCAGGTGGAAGCCCCAAAGACCGTGTCGCACTAAGCATGATCCAAATGGCCGAAGAACAAGGACTAATTCGACCAAACACCGGCTGCGTAATTTTTGAGGGGACTTCCGGGTCGACCGGGATTTCAATTGCAATGATCGCTCGTGCGAAGGGGTATAGCGCGTGGATAGTTATGCCTGATGATCAAGCACAAGAGAAGTATCAATTGTTGGAGAAATTGGGCGCACACGTTGAGAAAACGAGACCGGCTAGTATTGTTGATGAAAATCAGTATGTTAATCTTGCGAGACGACAGGCTTCGGAGTTTAATAGTGGAGAAGAGAGTAATGCAGATCATAATAGTGATGGTGTAAAGAGAAGAGGATTTTTCGCGAATCAATTTGAAAATTTGTCGAATTTTCAGGCTCATTGTAATGGGACTGGGCCGGAAATTTATAAACAGACAGATGGAAAGATTAATGCTTTTGTCGCGGGTGCAGGTTGATAATAATTATTCTGTACAAAATTAACCAATTCACTCGCATCAATAACGAACTCAAATTTTATTGAATATAAAGGAACTGGTGGCACAATTGGCGGCGTCTCCAGTTACCTAAAGCCTCTAATTCCAGAACTCAAGGTATTTCTCGTTGACCCACCCGGATCCGGGCTTTACCACAAGATAAAACACAACATCATGTACTCTCCATGCGAGGCAGAAGGTTCACGAAAACGACATCAAGTTGATACAGTTATTGAAGGAGTCGGGTTAAATCGACTCACAAAAAACTTTGATTTGGCGCGTGAATTTATTGATGATGCGATTAAAGTTACAGATCGAGAGGCGGTTGAGATGGCGAGATATTTGGTGCGTGAGGAAGGTTGGTTGGTTGATTTTGCTGTTTATTTTTCTTTTGTTATGTGAACGTAATCTTTATTATGTTATATTTTTTATATTCATGTATAATATAAAAAGGCCTCTTTATTGGAAGTTCTTCTGCAATGAATTGTGTTGGAGCTGTACGTGTTGCTCGGATGTTGGGTCCTGGTCATCGGATAGTCACTATTCTATGTGATTCGGGACAACGTGTAAGTTGCTATGTTTGTTATATTTTTATTGGTTTCTTTATAGAATAATCTCTTATGACAACTTTTTTAAATATGCGAACTAATAAATAAATAAATAAAATAGCATCTAACCAAATTTTGGTACGTGCATGCTTAGTTTGTTCATCTTTCCTCCCTTTATGAAAGTTTATTTATTATTTCCATATTATTTATTAGGAACGATGATTATCTCATAAAGCATAATATACTGCAACAACAAACACCACCAATAGATGTCCTTAGTGGTAGCGAAAGAAATGATAGTAGTAATGATTTATCGCGTATCATGTGATGTAGGACACGACCTGATACAAAAATACTGCGAGAGTCGCAAAAAGTTGTCAATAACTAAAATATTTTTTATGACAAATTATTGATAGGCGTGTTGTTAGACTTCTGACTGCAAAATTAATCTATTGTTTTGAATAAATAGAGGCTACCAGTAAAGAAAAAGTCTAACGAAATGATGCTATGAAAAGTGATGACTAGTCGTTTAATAAACTTTTATTAATTATAAAAAATCTATTCCAATAAAAAAATATCACTAAAAAAAGTAAAAAGTCACTATTTTTGTCCTAATTCAAAACTCGACAACTTCTATTTTTATACCACAAGAATCACAAGTCTGCACAGACACACCAGTTTCAGGAATCAACACAGCCGGACCAAACTCGTGTGTATGCGATCGCTGCCGACTCTTTTCCGCCTCGTCGGTACGAGTACGTTTTCTCAAATTGGCAATCTTTGTCTTGAATTTTTTCTCCTTTTGTTTTTGCTTCTCCAATTGTCGACGTTGATATTCTCGATCGAGACCATCCTCCCCGCCCCACTTTTTAAACGCAAACGCCTCAACTTGCATCCGAAGAAACAACATCATCGAGTTCCACGTTGACTTATGCGGATTCGGTTTCAACCAATGAGGCAACAGTTCTTCGTCACGAAGTTCAGCATCAGTTAGTAAGTAGTCTTCTTTTACTTCCGTCTTCGTTAGAAGACTGTACTTTTCCGGAAACTTGTTCTTGCACGCGAAACACACTTGAACCCCGAAAATTTTCGAAAATTTAAAATCGAGATCGATCGATTTATCGCATTCGTTGCATTTGGGATTTTTTTCCATGTCCATGCTCAAAAAGTTTCGTGGGTCTTCTTGGAATTGTATTTCTATCTTTTGTTTGTTTTTGTCTTTTTTCCCTCCTCTTTCTTCTTCCTCCTCGAATAGAAATCCACCGCGTGAATCTCGCATCTTTGAAAAATCGTAGTCGACATAGTTTTGGAATTTCTTGAGAGGCTTAAGAGGAGGAAGATCTTGTGTTTCGGGATTTTGTGATGCTGATGCATTTGAATCATTGTTCGAATTATTTTTATTACTGATACCACCCTCATTTGTTATTAATTCTGATTGTTCCATACGAGTACGTTGTTCAGGTCTTAATGAAGACACAGTTTTTGTAGAACCGGCAAAGTACTTTGATACTATGCTTGTTTGAAGTGAATTTGCAGACGAAGCGTCTTGTTCCACTATAAAGCCACCACCGCCACTATTGCTACTAACACCAAAACTAAAGCTTTCAGTAGAAACATCTACAGTAAATCCACTTCCAAAGTTGGCGTTGTGAATTGTAGAAACATTGTTATCATTAATAGTATCTTTAACAGTATGTCGTCGAGCTTCCAGACCAACCGTTACAGAACTCGATGAAGATAATTCTGGATGAACTATATTATTCTTATTCTTATTGTTAAAAGAAACTTCTTGTTTCTCTGAATTCGGCGAGGCTGTCTCTGTCATAACGACTTTTTGCCTCTTTGCGCGATGATTGCTTCCCCCTAAATCATGGTCAGTCTCTCGGTTGTGCCGCTCCTCTGAATTATTAATCACATCTTTCCTAATGTTCTTTTCGGTTTGACTACGTGTCTGGACCATTTTGATTGGGAATAAAGTGCAATAAATAACGCGACTATATATGGTGTTTAAACCTTAACAAGTACCGATCACGTGAAAATTTCGGCGAGTCAAATCAACATCTATATATTTTCATTATCTAAAGCGCGTCGTCTTCAAAAAAATTTTACGCTATTTCAAACCGATAAAAGAACATGGCAACTTTAATAATAACTACTCAAAAAAAGTTTATCAAAATCTCATCACCATTATCACCATTATTACAACAAAATATGTCTCCTTGCTGCTTAACGACAAAGTTGTCCTCATTATCACTACGTCGACAAAGCTCTCGTAATTATTTCGTTGTGCATTCTCCGTCATCTTTACAAGTGTCCTCTTCTTCGTTAAATAATAGTATTTCACAGCAAAAGAAGAGTTTCAGTTTATTGAATAGAACAGCAACAGTAATAGTGCCACCTCACCTAAGGCAAAAAATGCCAAAACAGCAGTCTAGACACGCGAACACATCTATTCGATTAAGATATGATGATTTCGGGATAATAGGTTGATTTTCATTAGTAATGCTAGATTTGTTAATTCTTTTATTTTAATTAACGAGTGAATGAATTAACTAATTCAATGACAAAAAGATCCATTCTCACAACCTGCAAAAATGCCATCGCCACTCAAGCCATTATTTTACTACGTTATATATAGGCGTCTATCGAATTTTTTCAAAAATACGTTCAAGTATACATGTATAATTATTATATTTTCTTTTTTGATGAATAATATTAAAGGTTGATCTAGATCTATATATATATATTTTTTTTAATGTAGTGTCGGCTTAATGTACCTCGCAGAGCGTAAATCTAAAAATGTTGAACGGTGGAATCCGATAAGGTTTAAAAAAAATGCACTAGATAAGTACAAAGAAATGAACTTGCACTATGCTGCGTAAGTTTTTTGTTGGCACCGCCTGATTGAATGCTAAATCGCATCTAAATAAAAAAGATGAATTATATAATTTTTTCGCATTTTCATTTGTCTTTGAAAATAACTTATTTTCTTTTCTTTTTATCTGTACAGAGGAAATCTCAAAGCATTATCGAAAATCTGTCACGAACAAATGGTTTTTGTAATTATTATTTATATTTTATTATTTGTGGGATGAGGTGAGGGGTGCGTAGTTTTAAGAAAAAACTCATTATTGAGTTTTTATATTGATAATTATAGACACTTAAAAGCCAGTTAAAGCAACGGACTATTGGTAATTACATATGGGAATTTTTGGACTTGGTGGATCGACCAAAGATTGTGAATATCCGGTCGGTGCAGTTAGGTGCATATGCTGAGCTTACTTTGCAACAGGTGATTGTGAGGTTCCATTCTGAACAGGTGAGAGAAAAATTGGATTAATTAATAATCACCATCAATGATTAAAGATTATTATTAATTTAAATATAAATATAGAGTCTTTCAGTCTACAACGAGAACGGTAAATTAATAGGTGGTGGCCCAACAAAATACTACAAAGTTCTCGAACATGTCGTATTCCAACGATGTCTCTGGGAAAATGAACCTAATTGGTTAATCTATGGATATTACTTTTTGCCGATGCCACAACTGCCACCCCTGCCACCCGACTATATATTAGGCAAAGGAACCGCGGAAGGTGAAAGTACCTACAAGAAAATTTTAAATAAGGTTCTTGGTAAGAAGAAGAATGATTCGATATCACCACTACCACCACCACCACCACCATCATCATTATCGTCGTCGTCATCATCACCATCATCACCATCATCACCATCATCACCATCATCGTCACCATCGTCACCATCATCGCCGTCGTCGAAAACGACCAAAACTCCAACAGCGACCAAGTCAAAATTGGAGAAAAAGGCGAAAAAATAAATACTATTATGTTAAATTTGTAATTTGTAATTGTTTTTATTGAATCAAGAATCGAAAATTTCACAGCGACGTAGTTTCAATAATCTGTTGCACAAAATTTTATTGGTTGAATTTAATATATATCAATATGTTGTGCCCAAACTATTAATCGGCCCAATTGTCAATCTGGGCAACCCAAATTCCAATTGGATTTTTGGACAACAATTTTTGCCCTGAATTCTAATTGGGATTTAGGTCTATGTACCGTATGTATCGGAAAAATAAATTTGTAAAGTCACTAGACTCAGTAACACATGCATTCTCAAAGATGTCTTGCGGATCCGGTTGTTGAAACATAACTTTGAAGACTCGTATCTCCATTTATTGATTGTAATCTGGGTATTAAAATGTTTGCCTTGATTAGGTGAATCGAACAAATCCGAGTTCGTATTTAATATATAAATACAGTTCAATATATATAAAGTTCAAATAAAATAAGAAAGAAAAAGCAAAAAAATACAAATTAAATATCTAATTTATCTTTTAAAGGATCCTGAGTTCATGATTTTAAACATTGACTAGCTCTAATTGTTTTCGGTGCTAGATTAAATCTTTTATCAGAAATCATAATTCCTCCAGAAGAAAAAAGTTGTTCAGAAGATACTGTTACCGTTTTGAGCTTTTGCGTATGAAAGTATTTCAAAATGGCAATAGTGACTGTGTTCACAGCAATTTACTTTGAATATTATGACTAAATGGTATT